AGTCCTTCCTTAGAGTCAAAGTTGGACATCTGGACCCACAGGCACCCTACGACAAACACTTTAGCATTTCGGCTGATTTCATCACATGGCCCAGCAATCTTAATCAGGTAGGCTATATATCATTTTAAGAAATATCTTCATATTTCAGCTATGTTTACAAAGACACTAAGCCATTGGGACTAGCTTGTTGTGTGATCCAGCTTCTTTCCCTCAGAATAGCTTATAAAGCGCCCCTAGCATCCACAGCTTGTTCTAGGGATTAGAAGGCCCTCTGTGGCTTAGTGTCTTGTCCAAACCAGAAGAGATGTTGGTGAGGTTGTTCAAGGGCAGACTGGACATGCCCATGGTAGGCATGTCAAGAGTGGAACCACCTGCAGAGTGGGGTAAGGTTAGATGGCCTTGGGGGACCCTTCTGACTCACTCTGTTTTGATATTCCCCAGTGTTCAGATACTGAAAGACCACTGCCTCTGTTTCTTCAATTGCTCTAGAGCTCCTACAAACCTAGAAATAAGCAATATTCCACAGCCATGCACCCACCAATATTTTGAGTTTTTTCTTTGTTTGCTTCCCTGAATATCACTGTTTGACTCCTTCATTTGGAGAAGCAACCATCTATAACTCAACAATGTCCAGAGATTTGGATCTCTGTGAGGCAAAAGAGCATGGCCACATCTACTTATTTTATTCTTTGCCCTCTCCAAAATTTCCATCTTCTTTGGGAGGATAAGAATTTCACTTTCACATTCACTTCAGCATCATTAGGTGGGTTGCAGTGCTGAGGATTTGACAGTTACTGTGAGCCTGTGTTTTGTTCCTTGCCCATTGCCCTTGTACCTTTCTCTTTTTTTCTTTTTTGCTAGACCATCACTTTTTTTTATAACGACAGACAGACTGATAACCATAGCCCTTTCATTACAGCTTTGGGATATTTAATCATAAACTTTTCTTCCAAAGGTGACACCTCCCTGTGAAATACCACAGCTGAGTTTGGACAACATGACTGTCCAACAGTGGTAAAAACCCACCTTGGCTTCAGAGAATGCTAGAATCCTTCAAGCCCAAATGGGAAGTTGCAGTGCCTGATTTTTACAGGGGTTCCACATATGATAGGTTTATGGAAACAAGATATAATGTGGAGAACCAGTGGGATACACTCCTCTCTGCCTATGAATTTTATGGATGTAAATTCTATAGGAAGGACACCAAAGGCATATATATTGTAAGAGGTGTTACTCTGGATGGCAGAGCGCTGTGAGAGAAAATATTGCGCTCCAATACTCATTCAGTGATAGGAACAGGTAAAATAACTGACTCAGTCAGTGGGTAGACAATGGGAATGCCATTTTTTTGCTTTTGGGAATATAGCAAAATTCAGGATCAGTGGGAAATAGAATGGCCCTAGAAACCCCACCTAAGATTGAATGTGATACAAGATTGTGGATAGGTTAGCATTCAGATGTCACATCCGTTCTATGGGTGATGGTGTTGAATTCTGGATTTTCAGCACACAAATGCATGAAAGTAGCTCACAACATGGAGGCAGATGTGGCATGATCTAAGAATGTTGGGTTTTGTATGTGCAAATCATGAACCTTCACTAATACCGACCTGATTACCAACCTCTATCAAAATAACCAGAACATACATGATAAATAAGTATTCTTGTGTAACTTTTCAAAGAATGTCTAATTATGAGTAGGCAAGCTTTTCCCCCATAATTATCTCATTAGCTGTCAATTCCTGCATGGCTTCTCTTTCTTTCAAAAGAGTTCTAGTGGGCATTAGCAATGCTGTACATGAAGGTTTCAATTTGCTTTAAATATCCCCTTCCAGAGCAGGAGATCCATCAGAATGTTTGTTGCACTATTATTCTGTAGTGCCCCCGCTTTCAGCTCTGGTGGTACACTAAGGAGAATGCAAAGACTTGTGAA